CGTACCGCAAAAAAAAAAAAAAAAAAAAAGCAGAGTGTGTTACTGTTTATTATGTTCACTTTTATTCTCACTGACTTTCATTCTTTTTTTTTTTCTCATTGACTTTCATGTCCTAATCCTGCTTATGTTAGGTACGTCATTGACTTATGCAAATTATTCAATTATATATATATATATATAGTTATGAGGTTATTTATTTTAGACTTAAGTTTGGTGTCTTTTTCTTAGATTTTATGATTTTTGATAATAGTGATGAGAAGAGCAGACTAAGGAAGAGAAAAAAAACATTGGAACATTAGGGGATAAAAAACTCTGTTTTAGAACAGTTGGAGACTTTTAGCTAGAAATAAGAGAAACCCCAATCAACAGTGGCTTAACCAATTAAAAAGTTGATTTTTCTCATGTCACAAGAAGTTTGGAGGTTAGAGGCTGCTAGCATTGCTTCCCTGGCTCAGTAACATAGAATTTAGGTCTGTCTGATTTTCCTTGACGTTCCTCATGGCACAGATGGCTGCTATAGCAGGCTGCTCAAGGCAGGAGGAGAGGAAAAAGGAAGGAAGGTGCCAGCCGCATCTTCTCCTTTTATGCAAAAAGCAAAAACACTCCCGGAAGCCCTCTGTAGACCTTTGCTCACATCCTTTTGTCACATGGCCACCTCTAGCTGGGGAAAGTAGGCTGGGCAAGTGGCCATTTAGCTTTTCCACCCCTTACAGAGCATGTTGGCAAGGGAGAATGGGTTTGGGAATGGATGTTGCATTGATATCTTGCCACAAGGAGCCTTGATAATTCCTCTCCCGCTTTCTTTTCGGATTGCTGGTTTTCTCTCCTCCTTCTTCCCTCTGAGAATTTATCAGTTTCTCATATTCTTTCCATTACAGATTGACAATTCCAAATTTCATATTTAAAAAATAAAAAAGATTATTAAGTTTGGTACTGTGCTGAGCCCTTTATATATATAATTTCATTTAATAGGTAAAATAATTCTGTGATAGAGGTATTCTTATGCCTAACTTTTATAGATGAGGAGATGGATGGTCAGAGAAATAACTCTGACAAGATCATCCGGCTAGTACATGGCAGAACTGGATTTCATATGACACCTTCCTGAATTTAAAACCCTTATGATTTTCTCTTCACTGCGATGCTTCCAGCTTTTGTCTGTTTGCCTTTAGGACACGCCCTTCACCCTCTGAAGCTTGGGCATAGCACCCTTGTTAGTGGGATCATCTTTCTGCCTGCTCCGGAGAGCAGGCTGTGTGTATCACAAACTCAGGATTTTTTTGTTGAAAGATGTCTTCCTCAGGTGTTCCTATCCTTTCCATTTTGACCCTTTAGCACTTACACTTTATATTAAACCTATTCATGTGTTGCTCTATAGTTGTATTCTGGTTTTATGGATATTGTCTTTTCCTCTTCCAGATGGTGCCTTCTGTGTCACAGAAATGCTGCACTGAACTTTTGGCTGTTGAGGGATTATTGGATTCCTTCCATCATGAGGTAGATGCAGTGGGATCTGCCTTTAGAGGTTCTTCACATAGACTGTGAGCTTCATGAAAGTAGAACATTGGGTTCTACGTTTTTCCATTTCCTCCCCTAGCTCCTTAATAAATTCCAAAACTCCAAGCGTCAAGGCACACTTTTGCCCTTTTGTGTGTATCCTTTAACGAAAACACCTCAGAATTTAAAGGATGGACCTGTAGTAGTTGAAGACATCTTTAATGTCCCTCTCTACTCCTTCTAAGTCTTGCTTCCTTGGGCAAAATACTCTTGGTTTTCTCAGGTGATGTAGTTTCCAGGCTCTTTACCATCTTTTTTCTCCTCCTTCTGGCTTTGTTCCAGTTCGATGAAGTCTTTTATGAAATATGACACCCAGAACAGCCAGATAGATTCCACTTAGAGTCTGATTTAGAGTATTCTCTCCCTCACCTCTCTTTTTCTGGATGCTCCTTCTAATAATGTTGCTTTGGGTGGAACTTTGCAGAGGGGAGTTGGTGGGGGGCTGGGCAAAGAGGAGAGGGAGTTTGCACTTTTTGTTTTTGGCAGCCTTGTCACATTTTCACTCATTTTGAGTTCACAATTAACTAAAACCTGTAAATCTTTTCCATATATGCTACTTTATTCTCTTCTATCCTTTAGTTTGGGAGGATACAGGGGCAGACTTTTATGTTGTAGCCATTCATTCTAATTGTCAGGATCTCTCTTTTTTTTTTTTTTTGTGGTACGCGGGCCTCTCACTGTCGTGGCCTCTCCCGTTGCGGAGCCCAGGCCCCGGACGC